ATTTCTTCTTACTGTTTTTGCTGAATTCTATTGGTTTAGCATATTGTGATTACATTTTACTTTGTTTCACAAAGTTTTAAGTAATACATTTTAACTTTTATTACCCATTTATGACATATAAATATATTTATACATGTAATTGCATATAACTTTATATAAGTATGATATTACACACCAGAATATAATGCGCACCTATAAAATGCAACTAACATTTTTCCGCTTTCCCTGGACACATCCTCCCCAATCTCAGTACTGCACTTTCAGGCCAACTTATTTCAGCTCCCACATATGACAGAGTAAAGCCTACTTGCCTTTCTGTGTCTGCTTCATTGCACTAAATGTATTACTGCTCCATCCACGTTGCTGCAAATGATGGAATTCCATTTTTTATGCCTTACTAGTACTCTGTTTTGTATGCATACCAGTTTTTAAAAATCAGTTCATCTTCTGATGGGAACCTTGAGTGATCTTAGCTACTGTAAATACAGCTACACTGAATATGGACAAACAGCTGCCTTTTTGGTATACCAAAGAGAACTGCCTGGATTATATGGTAGTTGTATTCTTAGTTTTTTTGAAGAACTACATAAGATTTTTCCTAGCGACCAAACTACTTTACATTCCCACCAGTAATTTTTCAAGAAATATTTTAATTGATTTAAAAAATTTCCTCTAGACTCATTAGTTGCTAACAAACATGTTTTTAATTCCATACATGTGTTTATTCTGTTGAGATCAGAAAATATATGTGACAAGAATTTATGTTTTAGCCATGTGTGATGGTGCATGCCTATAATCTTAGCACTTGGGAGGCTAAGGCAGGAGGATTTTGGTGAGTTCAAGGGCAGCCTAGGCTACTTAGGGAGTACAAGGTCATCCTTCACTACATAATGAAACTCTAGCTCAAAATACCAGAATTTAATAAATAAATATAATTAAATAAACGATTTTGTGTTTTAAACAGTTGTTCATAAATGATTGTGATTGATCATAAAAATGTTCCCTGAGGTGAGAAGAAACAACTTTGTTGTGCCAGTATTGATAGGATGTTAGCTAAATGTCTGTGCTGTAGTCAGGGGGCACCTTCCTAGCATAGCTAGTCTATAGATGGGATAGTTATTAAGTTATGAAGAATTCAATACTATTACTCTTTATGTGAGTCATAAGATTCTGTCACCCAAGTATTTAGAAGAAAAAATGATTTTTGGTCTAAACATGGTGAAATATATGTGAAGGATGAAAAGGAAATATTTATACCTGAGAAGTCTCCACCTTTATAAGTAGAATTTCCCTAGCTTCAATTAATCCTATCTTTGGACTATCACTTTCTTCTCCATAAAAGAGGAGCAAAATAATTCAGCTGTTAAAGGTGGAGGTGGAAGGAAGCATCCTCAAGATTGAGCCTAAAAGAATCTCAATGCAATGTAATTATACTTGTTTTAGAACATTTTTAGAGATCACCTTGATTCTCCAACTTTCTCATTATTCCTTGGTTTTTCAATGTGATTCTCATGTTATTCTCATTGATATGTAAAGTCTATTTCACAACATTTGACTTCTAACTAGTTATTAGATTTTAAAACATTTAGTGACTCGTTTATGGTGGAGGTGAAGTGTGCCTTAAGGGGCCTTAGTGTGTATTTGTTGATCTCTATCATAGCACAATCTCAGCCTTGTGAGCAATCCAAGGTAGCCTGCTGCAGGACAAGGACAAAGAGATTAGGCCAGTAGTCACTCCAACAACCACCCCAGAGGCAGCTAGCAGCACATTTGGGAAACGTCACCATAGATTACCAAAGTACCATTAGTAGATTCAGATCTGAATATAAAACATGAGCAAAACAGAAAGGATCGTGAAACTTCTCAGCATATACTTTTATATAATAAAGAAAATATTTTATTAGTATGTGTTTGTGTTACATAATGAATGCATACATTGTGTAGAATTCATACATACACATATTATGTCTTGATTGTTATTACTTCTCTCCTCTCACCTTCCCAT